AGGAGTAAGAGCATGCTTAACATTTTTGTGCTTTTAGCCACTGCTCATTAGATGACTCTAGCCCCAGCTTACTTCCTGAAAACCACCTCAAGTCCAACATGGATGTTTTATTATTAACAGCATCTCAAACCAAATACTGACTACTCTGAGCCCCAAACGAGAACACTGAAGCTTTTTTTTTTGAGATGGAGTCTCACTCTTGTCACCCAGGCTGGAGTGCCAGTGGTATGATCTCGGCTCACTGCAACCTCTGCCACCCAGGTTGAAGTGATCTCATGCCTCAGCCTCCAAAGTAGCTAGGATTACAGGCGCCGCCACCACACCTGGCTAATTTTTGTATTTTTAGTAGAGATGAGGTTTCGCCATCTTGGCCAGGCTGGTCTTGAACTCCTAACCTCGTGATCCATCTGCCTCGGCTTCCCAAAGGGCTGGGATTATAGGTGTGAGCCACCACACCTGGCCTTTTGAAGCTTTAAATTACAATTGTGATTCTCCTCTGTCCACATGGCTGGGGAGGCCTCAGAATCTTGGCAGGAGGCGAAAGGCATTTCTTACATGGTGGTGGCAAGAGAAAAATGAGGAAGAAGCAAAAGTGGAAACCCCTGATAAACCCATCTCATCTTGTGAGACTTAACTATCATGAGAATAGCATGGGAAAGACTGGTCCCCATGATTCAGTTACCTCGCCCCGGGTCCCACCTACAACATGTGGGAATCCTGGGAGATAGAATTCAAGTTGAGATTTGGGTGAGGACACAGTGAAACCATGTCAGAGGGTAAGAGAGCCCAGTGGCAGAGTAAAAGCATCATTCAGACAAGTAGAAGGAGACTCAGGAGGTACTAGAGAGGGGAATAAAACCTTTCGGTTATACATTGTGAAGGAGCTGCAGTGGAGGGCAGAGGCTGAGGGAAAGGTTTTGAAGAGAGGAGTCTATGTGTGGTGAGCAGTAAAGCTGTTAGGTGTTGGTGACCCTTGGCATTGCTTACCCTCCTTGGAGCGTTGGAGCAGCTGATCTAAAAGTTTGTCTCCAGTCTTCTGAACAGAAAATCCAGGGACACATGTTACTGTGGGGAAGGTAACAGGGCTACCTTAGACCGACTCCTTAAGAAGGGGACCACCCACAGAGACTGGCACCCGGGTACCAGCTAGCCATCCAAAACACCAACACTGAAGAACCTAAAAGTTTCAGTGAGATAGGCCATCGACTGGAAAGAATAATAGACCTGAATGAGACTTTTCTTCAGTAGCAGAGGATAATTAGAGGCAATAAAACAATGCTTTGAGAGGAAAAATTACTGTAAACATCATAGAGTTCTTGATCTAGCAAAGCTATCAAGTCAGATACAAGAACAAGAGATGACAATTTTAGAGACCCAAGGATTTATGTTGCGTGTACCCTTTCTGAGGAGGTAAGTTGAAGATACAATATAGCGAAATGAGGATGAACATCAGAAGGAAGATTTCCTAGTGCAAAACAACCAAGAGGACAGCTGTGCAGCAGGCTAGAAAATGTATTCCATTTAGAATAGAAAGTTGGCTGGCTGTAAGAATTTCTTAAGGAAAAGTCAGTTTCATTCAGTAGTGGGTAGAGTGAGTAAGAAGCTTGGTGGTATGGAAAAGGGTCTTCTGAAAAAGAAAAGGCAATTGGAAACTCCATGAAAAGGGGTGAAGGGGTAGGGCAAAGAAAGCCATAGCCTAAAAAATAGGGCCTAATTTTGGCAGTATTGAAAGAGAGAGCTCCTTTGACCTGACTCTGGGAAGATGCTCTCCTTGCAGCTCCTATGTTGTAGAGCATTAAGTGTGATCCTAGCACACTGTTTTAATATTTGCATAATCACAATATGAATGTAAATAGCATTTCTTTTATTAACCTGTTAAAAGATTTCATTTTTGTATAGAAGAGAATGAAATCTTGCTCGTCTTGACAGTGTAAAAAGTAAAGTTACAGAGTTTGGGCCCTGTGAGGTGGGTCAAGGGTTGGGCTCCCTCTCATCCATATTCTACATAGTAGCTCTTTTTTTTTTGAAATGGAGTCTTGCTCTGTCGCCAGGCTGGAGTGCAAGTGGTACAATATCGGCTCACTGCAACCTCTCTACCTCCTGGATTCAAACTATTCTCCTGCCTCAGCCTCCCAAATAGCTGGGACTAACAGGCGCACGCCACCACGCCCGACTAATTTTTGTATTTTTAGTAGAGACAGGGTTTCACCATGTTGGCCAGGATGATCTCGATCTCTTGACCTCGTGATTCACCCACCTTGGCCTCCCAAAGTGCTGGGATTACAGGCATGAGCCACTGCACCCGGCCTCTACATAGTAGCTCTTGAAGCTTATGTTCACCTAAACAAATCTCTGTATTTGCACAGTCGTGTTGGTGAGAACTGTTTGCACCTAGGTGCCCTCTTTTGTTAGATCTTCACATTTTGAGGATGTGTGTAACAGTTGAGTGGGATTTTCTGGAGGCTCAGGAATTGATGCTGGGGACTCTGAAAGCAGAAGATACAGAGGCACCAAGAGTTTTAACCTCTTGGGGACCAGACCACATCTTCGCTAATTACGACCCATAGAACTTGTCCTGGTGGCCTCCAGTCTTCACCTCCTGCACTCACAAAGTGGCATTAGAGCCGCAGCTGTTGGCTTAAGGTAGAATGTAAGCTGCTTTTCTGTCTCCTCTGTGCACTGGGGTGATGGGGTGCTGGACTGGACTTGAAACT